CGGGGGTAAGGAAATCTGGGGCAGGGACATGCACACACGTGTGAGCGCACACATGCTCAGTGGCTGCTGCAGGTGGGATGGGAGAAGCCCCAGCTGCGTTGCCCATGCACTGCTCCTCTAGCAGTGGCTCAGGCAGCTACTGCAGGAGCTGGAGGCCATGCTGGGAGGGCTGTGCTGGGGTTGGGGGTGGGGGCTGTTGGCAGCTGGGAGCCCGGAGCCACTGGCTGTTTGCTCTGCCCAGGTCCCAGCTGGGGATTTTGTGCCAAACTGCCAGCGAGACTAGGCTGGCCCCTATGTGATTGGGGCTTGTGGGAGTTTGGTCCCTGCGCAGATTACAAAAGGGTTGGGCTGGGCAGGAGCTCTGGGAACACAGGGAGAGACACCAGCCACCTAGCCTGGGCTGGGAAGCAGCTCCCCATGGCCCCTTGGGCAGCAAGCCATGCCTGGTGGCCACCAGCAAGAGAGCAGCCTAGCCTCTTGACAGACGCATACGCTCGCCTCTCCAGACAGTATGGGGGCAGCACCTGGGCCCTGGGGGCGCCCCTGTGTGCCCTGTCCCAATCATACTGCTTCTCCCCATGTTCCCAGAGCTCCTGCCTGGCCCAGCCCCTGCATATGTGGGGCAAGGTGTGCAGGGGTGCCTCTGGGGCCCAGCCACTGCCTGCACACTGCCCGGAAGGGCGGGAGGCCGTGGCTATCAAGGGGCTGGGCTGCCCCTCTCCTGTTGCCTGCCAAGCAGGGCTCAACTCTAAGGGGCTGCAGGGAGCTGCTCCTTGCTCCGCTGCCCATCCCCTTGTTTCCAGAGCTCTGGAGTGCTGCTCTCCTCCTCTTCTGGTCCCTACCCACCCAGCTCTTTCTTGATGAATGGACAGAATGATTTAAAGCAGGTATGCGTTATTGATTTATGGAATTTATATTATATATTTTAAAGTGATTTTATAAACCTTTTAACAGTATACCGTCATTATTATATTGTTTGCCCCCCACACCCCTAATTGCGTGCAATCTTTAAAATTTTAATTGATAAAAATTGATAAAAGGTAAAAGAAATGTATAAAAATAAACATTGATTTTAGCCATCAAAATTATATATCTCAATCTGAATTCTGCCAAGCCTACTCATTGTGCATTGCTGAGTTTGGAGAATGGAAACAAATGGGTTTAGACAAAAGGTGCTTAATCCCCGGCCCATAGGTCAAATCTGGCCTGCAGAGCTATGTCATCTAGCTGGCAGGTCTCCTCAAGGGTCAAGAAATTTGGCAGCAGGAGACAGTGGCAGCAGTAATTGCCACTCCCCAAGCAGGTCCAGATAATGTGCCAGCACACAGCTGCATCTGGGTACCCAGGGTCAGGATGGATCTGGGTATACGGGATGACACCCACTGACTCACCCTGCATGGGATCCTACCTGTGGACTCACCCTGTGCCACTCCTCTGTCCAGCAGGGCCTTGAGGCTGGGCACCAGTGGTTTAGACTAGGGGTGTTCAAAATCTGCCCTGGGGCCAAATGCAGGCCCTGGAGCCTTGGAATCTGGCCCATGGGGCACCCAAGTCAGGAAATTTGGCAGTGGGGGAGCAGTGGGAGTTAATACCGCCACCCCTACCCACTGCCAACATCCCAAGCTTGGCACAGCAGGTCAGAGCTGGGCCATAACCATTCCCCCACATGGCCAGATCAGGGCCCGGCCAAGCCCCCTATCCCTGAATGGCTGAGGCCCCTATTCCCCCCACCAGCTCCATGCTACGTGACTGGATGGGACCCTGCTGTACACACCCTGGACCCTGAATTGGGTCCACTGGCCAGATTTGGCCTGTAGAGGGACCAGGCACTGCCACGTGCACTTATGAGGAGAGGCTGAGGGAACTGGGTGTATTTAGTCTGGTGAAGAAAAGCCTGAGCTGGGATTTAATAGCAACTTTCAACTGCCTAAAGCAGAGCTTTCCAAACTTTTCATGTTGGTGACACACTTTTTAGACATGCATCATTTCGCGACACAGTAATTCAGTTCCGGGGGAGGGGCCAAGGGAAGCAGACACGAGTAAGGGAGCTCCGCGGTGCCCTTCCGCAAAATTTTCCGCATTTCGCGCGACACACCTACACACTGCCGCCGACACACTAATGTGTCGCGGCACACAGTTTGGAAAGCTCTGCCCTAAAGGGTGGTTCCAAAGAGGATGGAGCTAGATCAGGGGTGGATAAAATACAGCCCGTGGGCCGGATCCGGCCAGCCAACTGATTGTCTCTGGCCCGCAGCTGCCCCTGTGGCACTCCACGTTGGGCTGAGCCCCATCCACTCCTACTCAGGGCAAGCCATGCTGTGCTCCCACCCGCCCCCAGCCCCACCCAGTGTGCACAGCTTCCCAGCAGGGCTGCTCCTGGTGTGGCCCCAGGTATTACTTAGCTCCCCCTGCCTCCAGCAGCATTTCCTTCTGCCCATGCTGCTGCAGCTCCAGACAGCAGGTAGCATGGAGAAGCAACAGCAGCCATGGGGACATGTGCCAGGTACCACATGCCCAGCCGGGGGGGCACACAGGGCTCCAGCTTCCGGTCACCTTGCACCCACTCCGTCCGCCTGGCATGATGAGCAGCCACCCACCGGGAAGCTGTGCGCGCTAGCCAGGGCCAGGGGTGGGAGCGCGGCGTGGGCTGCCCCAAGTGGGAGAGGGCAGGGCTTGGCCCATGTGGGGCGCTGTGGGGGCAGCCATGGGCTGGATGTAGGGGGGGGACAGCACCTGCACTGCCCAGGTGAGCTCTGCTGCATGTGCCCCCTGCCTCCCCTCTCCTTCCCCCAACCACATCCGGCTCCTGAGACCTAGCACGCAGGCAGCTCTCACACCCCTACCCCTCCACACACACACACAAAAAACACAAGAACAAAACTTTACTTTGAGCTATTATGCCATCGCCTCTGTATACGCTACTCAGAAAAACATAAATCAGGACAAAAATTATTTTTTGAAATAAAATTAAAATACATCATAGTAGATGTTTGATTTTAGTATATGATTTTTTAAAATCTATCATTTGTTAAAATATCTTCTAAAAGATTTTGTGTGTGCAGCCCTCAACAGCTCACCAAAGCTTGCCAAGTGGCCCTCCAGCCACCCCTGACCTAGGCAGTCTTATGTCGCGTTTAGAGGATGGTTGTATGACGGCTTGGATAGGGGTGTTCCTGCCTGACACAGGGGGTTGGATTAAACCAGGGGTTCCCAAACTGTGGTACATGCACCCTCCTGGGGGTATGTAGGAGAAATTGTGTAATTTAATTTTCATTTAAGGAGTTAAAATATAAAAGCTCCACTGGCAGGGGTACGTAGGTGGCTAGGCTAGTAAATCGGGAGGGGGTACGCAATAAGAAAAGGTTTGGGACCCTCTGGACTAGATGACCAGTGGAGGTCCCTTCCAGCAATACTTCTCTACCGCTGCTCTCGGGGTGGTGGTTTGGTACCAGGACAAGTTCAAGCCAGGGATGTTGAGGTCAGAGATAAGGAAAAGCCTCTCTCACGAAGAGGTCAATGCAGAGGTGCTGACTTATTTTTGCCTGGGTGGGGGGCCTAAGATGATGGACACGTGCCCCCTGCCCCTAATGTGCAGGGAAGCGGGTGGGCAGAGGGGGCACAGGGGTGCGTGGTGGGAAGGGGCTAGGGTGGCCATCACGGAGGACAGTCCGGTTTTCTGCTACAGGCAGTGTTCAACTTACAACGTTTCGACTTACAACGTTTATAAATTGACACCTGGTTTCAACTTTACGACGTCAGGTCTGACTTTACAACGCTCCATCCGATGTGATGCCATGCCAGCCAACAAGTTGGCTGCGTCGCTCATCTCCCTGGAAAACATCCATCCAAACTTCCTTGGCCACTTTCTTTAAGAAAGGAGACGAGACTCCAGAAAGACGGGCAGCCGGGACTCCCGAGAAGGCTCCAGCCAAGAGCCCTTCACAAAGTCCAACCGAGAGCCCTTCAAAACGTCCAGCAAAGTCTCCTCAAAGAAGTCCTTCCAAATCAATAGGATTGCTATTTACAATATAAATACATCAATGTAGCTCTATTACTCAACTGTAATTGATCAAGTACAAAATTCTGGGGTATTTTTAGTGACAACAGGGTATTGGGCCTTGTTCAGGATCCAACCCCCCATTTATAACACTGTTTCTTAGGAGAAAATTGGTTCGGAGTCACTGAAGAGGCGGTTTTCAGGAACCGATTGTGTCCCAGCCCCAGGATGGCTGCACCCTGTGCTCCACCGACCCCAAACCCCACGCCTTTCTGTCCTCTCTTCAAGAGAGAAATAGCAGGCACAAAGGTTCGTATCCCAGAGGCCACCTGGAGGGCGCTCAGGGAGGTAGCGAGGGGCACCTGCTCCCCCTCACACATGCCGCGTCCGCCCCTCAGCTCGGGGCCGCCAGCCCCACGCCCACGCCCACGCCCACGCCCGGCGTCGGTGGGTCGCGACACCTCCGTCCCCCGCGGCTTCACACCGGCGAGAGCGGGCGGCGGCGCTGAGGTAGGAAACGACAAAAGAAGCGTCTCAGGCCAAACCCAAGCCCCAGGTGCTG